AGGTTAGCATAATACAAAATATGCACTGTTATGACTGTTATTTCGTCTTCTCATCATCATTATTATCATTAAAAATATATATATAAACATTTATAGTTTATGTATTATTTATATTTTAAAAAAGAAACAACTTGTGTCCATAACTATGTTTTGTTTGTTTGTTTGTTCATGTTTTTAATGAGTGTTTTTTTAGTATTATTTTTCATAAACACAATAATAAAAATCTAAAGTCCTGGGAGTTTGAGGGTTTGGTGCAGTACCTTAGCTGTTACGAGGCCTGTGCTCTTCTGGACAGAGACCTCTGATCCTATTTGGACTTTACCTTCCACATCTGCTCCAGTTGTTCCTTCTGCCCCTGATACTTTCTGGTACTTTTCTTTTTTCAGTGTATTATGAATACACGGAAGTGTATATGTATAAGTGTAATGTTCTCCTATTTGAAGTTGTGTACAATCCATATTATTGGTAGGTATAGCATATGAGATATATTGTGTATTATTGTATGCTACTTTCACTTTAAATGAGTGATCACTGTCTATGTTACACCTGCACAGTGAGCAACAGTCTGCTACAGGTCTGTCATAAAAGACAGTGACAGAAATGTGCAATGTTACTCATGTAAACAGAACATTAGAAATAAATCTAAAAATAATCTTGGTCAGATTATGAGATAGTGGGCATAGCCTTGTGCGCAGCCACCATGTCTTTTACACAGAAGAAGAGAGACAGCCAGACTGAAAGATACTCTTTGTGGTCATCTTTTTTTTTTCATTTGGTTCTGCCTTTTTGGAGTCATTGTGTAGCTTGAGTCTATGCAACCAGTTTGTATCTATTCATGTACATTGATGTGCAGCTTTAATCAGAGGTTAAAAATAGATCAGTGAAAAAGCACAAGAACAGTGAACATTAGTAAATGTGATGCCCATGTACTCACCAAGTAATTCTGACCAACTTGTTTTTCTTTGCTGTAAGTCCCAGAAAGCTGTCAGTGATGCTGAGGAGAGCGACGCTCTTCATCAGCCGCAGTCTTCCATATGAGGACATCATCACTTTACAGGCTGTGTGTGTTTATGAAGCTGCTTGGAGACCAAAAACATGTTTACGTGACCGACAAAGAGGTTTGTTGCTGCTGCTTCTGGGCAGTGTTGTGTAGATAATAAAGTTTGTTCAGTCACTACGTGAGTGTGTGTGTGCATGTGTGATCTCAGGTTTCATGGCTTTTACTTAAATTACACAGTGTAGCATGCTTGTGTAACACACAGACACACACAATAGGTCAATTCAGCAGACTGGGACCACACCCAGAATATTCTCAACACTGACTTTACTAATTTTAACCAAGTCTTGCTAATCAGGTCATGATCCAAGACTACAGCTCATTCACCAAAAACAGCCTCCTACAGCAGAGCAGTATCAGTTACCGTCAATGAACTGAGCAAAGATGTATCAGAGTGAACTTCCAGAAGAATCGTTTTAAAACACGTTTTTGAAGGAAAGTCAACACT